AGGAGAGGGGGGAGGGTCAGAGGGAGAAGCAGACTCCCTGCTGAGCAGGGAGCCCGATGCGGGACTCGATCCAGGGACTCCAGGATCATGACCCGAGCCGAAGGCAGTCGCTTAACCAACTGAGCCACCCAGTTTACCTATCTTTAAAATGGCGAACATTCGAATTCCACAGTTCCTCATTTGAGATTTCCAAATCCCAAAATCACTGTAAGATGGAAGGTTTTGTGTGAGTTTCATACCAAAACTTATTTGGTGGCAACCTGACTTGAGAGATATGAGGCTATTGACAGTCTTTATCTGTTTTGTTTAGTGTAAAGGGCCATGTTGCTAAATGAATGTGAGTGTGTTTGATTACGGTATGCTGCCCTGGATGCTGCTGGTTATGTTTTATCATGTATGGTATAGATGCCCTGTTAGACCTGCAGAAGTCTGAAAATGAATGAATTTCTAAGTGTACTTGTCCCTTAAGATGCTGCCCAAAGCTGGGTTAAGCCTCCGACTCTTGATTTGGGCTCAGGTCATGATCTCAGGGTCATGAGATTGAGCTCCACATCCAGCTCTATGCTGAGCATGGAGCCTACTTGAGATTCTCTCTCCCTCTCCCTCTGTCCTTCCCCCTCTGCTTGCACCATGCTCTCTCTCTCCCCCCCGCCAAAAAAAATTTTTTTTTAAAATATGCTGCCAAAAGCAATGTGGACATTTGCTTGCATGTCCTTCAAAGGATGGTTATGATGACCCAATGAGATAATGTGTGTGGTGCCTGGAAGATAGAAGAACTCAGTAAATAGTCATAATAATAATAATTATCACTATGAATGTGGTCCTATCATTATATATATTAGCATAGAGAGCAAGAGCATGGACTTTAGAATCAGATCACCTGGGTTAGAATGCCATTTCTGCAGAATAACCTTGGGCAAGTTACTTGACCTTTCTGTACCATGGTTTCCTTACCTGTAACATGGGGATAAATATGTAATTACTCCACAAGGTTATAGTGAGGATCCAATGAGGGAATACATGGACAGCCCCTGGAAGAGTCCCTGGCAGCTGATGATATCTACTACTGTTTCTCTTTCTCCCTTCCCTGTTTCTAATACAGTAGTTGTTCCATGGTGCCACACACTGGCCTTCTGATGAGGCCATGTGTGGGCAATTGACTAGATCTGTGCTTTGCAAAGTGGGTCACTGGGGGAACGCAACTTGCTTGGGGGTTATATGAAGCCACCTTGTGAATGAGGCAGATCTTTCTCAACAGTATGTCCGACATGGGCTTGGGCTGCATATAGATCTGATAGTAAATTCTGAACTGACCTTGAGCAGTCCAAATCTCAAGTTTCTCATCTTTAAAATGGGAGTATAGCTATCTAGAAGAAGCTGTTTTCTTGATTCTGCCTAGATTCCCCTAATTCTGAGCCCTGGATTCTTCCTCCAACTTTTTAGATACCAGGAATAGCTCTGATTGGAAGATGGTGCCTTCAAATACTAGTGGTTGAAACTGGACAGCACTGATTGTCTAAAAAATACTTACACAGAGGTTCCTGGCAGCTCACCTGTGGCAAGGCTTGGCGGTGGGGGGGTCCACTAGCTTTGATTATATACCCATGGCAGATGCAAATTCGTTTTGATTATATTTTAATTACATTTTGCAAATATTTTGATTTTGATTAGATTTTGCAAATTTGTAAAATCTCCAATTTCCCATGCATTTTCAAGATGAACACACCTGAGAGGATGGAAGTTGACTTAAAAATCTCTGTGAGGTAGCTGGTAGAATTTCCAATGACGTCCACCAGTAGGGCTGTGAAATCTGCAAGAAGGATTGACGAAATTGAAATTTCTGATCCAGAAACTTGAGGGAAAAATGTATCATGTATTTGGACTTTTCAGAGTAGATTTTACATGTTTAATTTTGTCCAGTGTTTCGAGGAATGTTAACGATCATACAGGGAACTATTACTAATTATAAAGATGTCTTATTTCCAGGCAGGGAGAAAACTTCTGGATCCACCATCATAGTCCCCTTCCTCCTCCCATTGCCCTCTCCCTCCAAATCCCTCTGTGCCAACTCCAAATGGCTGTGAAAAGCCACATTACTGAATAATGGTTTTTCTCATCTGTTGTCCCCTGTTATCTCCTCTAATTGCTTTAGAATACCAAGTCCATCTGACAGGAAGCAGCCTCACAGTTATGCAACCTGAATTTACATAGTTTTGGATTTTCAAAATGTGATGTCAGCGTTAGTGGTGGGTTATAAAGAGACTAGAACCCTACACAAAACAGAACCAGGAACCCCTGCTCTTGTCTCCCTTGTTAAGAAGGCTGATGGGAGGAGATTGGGAGAATTTCACATTTCAGGCTATCAAATCTTTGTGAACTCTCCCTCTGAGCAGAGTCTGAATAAGGGCCATTGCTTGACATGGTGGGCACCATCGACCAAGGAAAACTCCCAATGTACCTCCAGGCAAACAGCCGCTACCTCTTCTGCTGTTCATTCATGGTTTTCCAGGATCCAACAGGTTTTTGGCTTACAGAACAAGGATATGAATTCTAGGAGCCCCAAACAGTAAGAAGAAGCTTCTGGTGTCATCTGGAAAATCTCCTTTTGTGCTTTGTAAAAACACTTCTTTTACTCAATGGGATTATGAGCTCGGGTGGGGGGCAAGCTGATTTGAAAATATAGAACACAGAGGACTGGAAATGCAGAGCCCAGAGAGGCAGGAAAATGTCATGGGACAACCAATGGAATGTTCAGCATGTGAGGTCAACAGGAGGTGGACACCACTCTACGTGAACCAGAGCCATGGTGCGATTTTATCATACTGCGCGGACACATGGTCAATCTCTGGGAGGAGAGGCGTGGTAGAACACCAGTGCAGATGTGGACACCTGGCCATGCAGAAGTGACGTCAGCTTGGGTGTCCTCCTTTCCATGTCTATTTAGACCAGTCTGTCCTTGGTCACACTGTGGAAACTGAGGAAGGGTATTATTTCATTATTTCTTCCATCTATTTTCTTCCTACTTCTCAAATGTCTTTTTTGTTCATTAATTCATTTATCTAATAAACATTCATTGAGTGTTTGCAGGGCACCAGACACCTGCTCGGTACTGAAGGATTGTGTGAGACACCATCTCTGCCCAGCAGAAGCTGAGATTAGTGGGAGAGAGACTCGTAAGCAGACCAGTAAACCGTAATCTGCTACTAACACCTCACAGAAGCCAACACCGTGGCTCTGGAGTCAGGACACCAAGATGGAGTCCAGGTTGTGCCCAAGTTTCTGAGAGATGATGGAACTTTCCCAAGGTCCCAGAGGATGTGGTGGAGCTTGAATTTGAACTGAGGTCTACAATGGGCGAAAGCTCCCACTCTTCCCAATGTTCCCACTGCTGCTCAAGCAACGTCTTACTCAACACACTGTGTGAACTCTCCCTTCAGAATGGCTTTTACAATCTCTCTATGAGGCTTGGAAGAGAACCAGCTATCATTACCTCAGAGACATTCTTTGTTTTGATGAAAATTTGAATCTAATTTACTAGCAATACCTATAGATGAGTGATTTCTGACTACTTTTATATATACATAGAAAATAGGGGGAAAAAGCCTTTTTGCCTATCCAACTGGTAATGATTTAAGAATGTGTCGTAGTATTTTGTGTTCGCAAGGGTGTGGAAAAACATGTGCTCTCAAACATTATCGGTAGAAGTGTAAACTTATGCAAGATGTCTTAGAGGAAATTTTAGCAATTTGAATCACCACAAAATTGTTTCCCTGTCAGACAATTCCATTTCAAGGACTGTATCCTACAGCGTAATTAGGCAAGTACTCCAAGTACTCTAAATACACAGGTATTCATCATAGCATTGTTTATAATTATAACAACACTGGGGATAAACTAAGGTTCCATCAAGAAGAGACAAATTAAATATATTATGGTACATTCTTTCAACGAATACTGTGAATTCATATGAAGGATGAGACATATTTATATTCACTGGGCTAGAATGGCTTTTACGATGTACTGATTAGTTTAAAGGTGGATTGTGAGGCTGTATGGAAAAGGTGGTAGATATGGCTGGCTGTCTCTCAATAACTCTTCTCCCACCTTCCTTTAATAAGAGAACAGGAAATTTCAGTTGGGCATATGGTGGTTTAACATAAAATTACATTTTTGAGCCTATTTGCAGTTGGGTGCAGCCATATGACTAAATTCTGGGTGATAAAGTGTGAGAAGAAGCCATGTGGAAGGTTTCCAGACTGTGTTTATATAGTGAATGGGAATATCATCAGTTCCTTTCTCCTCTTCCATGTGGCTGGAATGCAGATGAGGTGGCAAATCATCCTGGATTATGAGAACAAGGGCAATGCATTATGGGAGGCAGAACAACAGCCTAGAAGGAGCCTGGGCTCCCTAAACCGTCAACTAGAGCAGCCCTGGTATGTTTACCAAGATGGTCACATACGAAAACTATTACCTTCCACCCTCTGCCAGGCACCTTATTTTGGGGTCCTTTGTCATAATAGCCTGGTTTGTATTTTAAATAATATAGAGAATACAGACTGGGATGGGTAGATAGATGGGCAGATGGATGGGGTAGGTGGGATGGTAGACAGGTAGGTTAGATAACTAGTTGACAGATGGCTTAGGTGGGTAGATTAGAGAGGTGGCTTAGACTGCCTTGGGTGATGTGATTACCTATGGATGTTGGGATTTCAGGTATTTTTTATTAAACTGTCCCTGTTGTATGGCATTTTGACATTGTAATACGTTATTTTTTAGAATCAAGAAAAATTAAGCTATTTTCATTCAAAAAAAGAAAAAATATGCAAATACACCCTCACAAGGGGGGCTTTAAGTCAGAGTTGAGAATATTCAAGTGAAAATGATCCAGGTCTGAAGAGTACCCACAAAGACATCTTCCCCCAGGGACCGAGCAATGGCAAGATGCTAGCCTGCATTGAGCCTCTCATGGCAATGATCTGAGGGGAGTGGACACCAGCACATTGTGATGTGTCCATTGGAAACCTCGTAAAAAAATTCCTGTGGCTTACCGGAGGAGCAGCGTGCGATTTTATCAGTGGTGATGACCTATGGATCAACTCTTTTCAAATAATCGTTTCAAGTGTGCGGAAATATGCTTTGGCTCACCGAGGGGAATTAGAAACTCTTTCCCTGCAGATGTGACTCCACTTTTTACAATCAGGGCAGGGACACAGTGCCCACACTAAACTGGGCCCCCAGCAGGGGCTAATGAGAGGCTGAGGAAACTGTGGTAATGGACAACATTTGTCCTCCCACGGGTAATTTGTTGAGAAGATTTGAAGGGCCAGTTAAACAAGATAATGGCTGTGAGGTACTTGCTGCAGGGCCTGGCACACAGTACTCATTAAACATTACTAATTACTCTCTTTAAAATGTTCACAATATTTGTTCCAGAAATTCCACTTCAAGGAATCTATCCTTTGAGAGTAATCTGGAAAAGGGGAAAAAGTTTTATGCACCAAGATGTCCAATACAGGATTTTTTTATGTTAAGAAAAACCTAGAATCCACCCAAAAGTCAACAGTATATGGCTAAGAAAATGCTGACTTTTACAGGTTATGTAGTCACTACAAATGTTTGCAGTTTGCAGCCTGGAAAATATTTTTAAGGTTGGGTCAAATGAGAAAAAGACCAGGAGGCTTTTCCACTTTCAGGCCTTACTTCTCTTACAATCCATTTTTTTTTTTTTTTTAATGAAAAGCCAAAGAGATCCTCTTAAAATGTAAGTTAGATCATATCACTCCTCTGTGTGGCCAATCACCTTGGCTTCCTTCTTATTCAGTGTGAAAATCAAAATCCTTGCTGTGGACTATAAACTTCTACTTGACCCTCAACACCCTCCCTGCTTTGCTCCCCCAGCTCTGAGCTCATTTCCCGTGACCATCTGCCCTGGCTCACCTGCTCTAGCCATGCTGGCCTCTCTCATCCTTACCCTGCTGCCTGGGCTTTTGTCTGGAACACTCTGTCCCTGGGTACCACAGGGCTGTCTCTCCACTTCCTGCCTCATTAGAGAAGACTTCCCTGACCCCCACTATATACAGCAGCTGTACCTGCCACCACTTCCCTCCTCACCCTTTCCCCTGCTTTATTGTTCTCACGGTCGTGTTAGTAGCCAACATACCGGGCATTTTTGACTCTCTGTCCCTTCCTATAGAATCTAGTCCAAGAGAGCAGAGTGTGTGTATCCACTTTGCCCAGTGTGGTACCCCCACACTTAGAAGAGAGTTTGGCTAATGGTATGTGCTCAATTAAGAACCACTGAATGGGAGGATTAGTGGTGAGATACTAACGTTCAGTTTTACTTTTCAGGATTCTCTAAATAGAAGGAACATCAAACAATTTTAATTTTTAACTATAAAAGTAATACAGGAGTATCCTAGCATTGACAATAAGATCCGGGGATACCCTCGTGTACTGCAAAGCACGCATCATGATCTTCTTTCAGAGGTAAACACCTACACGTGTCCAGAGATGTATCTCTTCACCAATGACAGTGTATTCTACACATTATTTTGTAACTCTGCTTTTCTAATTAATAATGGCATGGAAATGTTTCCAGACATGGGCCAAATCTGGCCACATCCATTCATTTATGCATGGCCTGTGGCTGCTTCCCAAAGTTTAGACTATTTAACCATTTTCCTAATGATGGGTATTTACCTTGTTCTCAGAGTTTTCTGTTAAAATAACGCTGCATGAACATTTTGTTCTTGCCCCTTTGTTCAGACATAACTATTTGTCTAAGATAAAAACCAAGAAAAGAACTTTCTGTGACAGTGAATGTGTACACAGCTAAGCATTATAGATACCACTGTCTTTTCTTATTTCACTCTAAGGAGAAAAAAAATCGAGTCAAACTTATCTGAAACGGGACAAGCAAAATCAGGAAGGCCGCAAGCCTGGCAGGTAGCTCCACCTACCTGACAAGTCATTGGTCCTGTTGTTCAGACAGTAGCAGTACCGAGTGGGGAATCTGGTGGTGTCCACAGTCTTCAGGTTGGAAACTGTGAAGAGACAACGATCCACAGGGCGGTCCTGACACCAAGCCTGGCCCTGCCGGCCTACCCATCATCATCAACACCACCAAGAAGAGCCCGGCAGCACTTACTGTTGTAAATGGCCACAGAAAACTTGTGGAAGGCAAAGGAGCTGTAGGAAGTGATGCTTAGCAAGGAGAAGAACTTGGTATCTGCCAAGGATATTAAAATAAAAGAAGCCATCAGACAAATGCCTCCTGACAATCATAATACCATCAATTAATAAACAGATAATAGAAATTAAAAATACAATGAACAAATAATAAAAGTAAATAACAGAAACAAATAATAAAATAGCACACATTGGAAATAATACATAAAATCACTTAAAAGCAAACGAAAAACTGCATACGTACATGTCACTTGACTATTTCCTGATCTGTCCCTAAGCCCTGACAATTCTCCCACAGTGTAGTTGTGATCAGAAATGCCTGCACATAGGTCATGTCTGGAATGCAGCTTGCTCTCCAGATGCTGGTGAGCCTCTGACTTCATTTGGATATTTTCAATCTCATCAGGTGTCAGGCAGGACACTGCATTCTCCATCTGAACACGGAGAAGCTGGGGCGCAGAGAAGTGCCCTGTCTTGCCCATGTTGCAGAAGTGAAGCAGGTACAAGGCAGAAGTGGGCCTGGATTGTGCTTTTTACAAACTGAGCGTTGCTGGAGGGGAGGTGGGCGGGGGGATGGAGTAACTGGGTGATGGGCATTAAGGAGGGCACGTGATATGATGAGCACTGGGTGTTATACCCAACTGATAATTTATTGAACACTACACCTGAAACTAATGATGTACTGTAAGTTGGCTAATTGAATTTAAATTAAAAAAAAAAGGTACCTTTTAAATAAGCTCTATTCAGCATTCCATTCACCAGCTCTGTCAGGTTCAGGGCAGACAGATCGACCGACCTTGCAGGCAGCTCTGGAAAAGATTCGCGGATAATGTCACTGGCAGGCTTTTCTCACAACGGAAGTTCCCTGTTTCTGACATTGAGGCAGACATGCTTCCTCTTTGGACATTTACTGAACTCATACCCACAGCTGGGCGCAAGGAATTCAAAGATAAAAGGCGCTCAGGAGGTGACAGCCGATGGCATACGTCACGACAAGTTAGATAAGAGAAGTCCACGTGAAGGACAGGAACACTTACTTAGTGAATAATTTATCTCTGCATCTGGAGACAGCAGGGATGGGTGGGAAATGTTCACTTACAATGGGAAGCCCAAGGAAATGGCACAAGTCCTCAACAGCACTGAACTTGAAATGACTACATTATCTAACAGACAATGCCCTCACTGGGCACTGGCATCCCTAGGAAAAAGGTTTTTTAAAATTCTGCAGTTCTGGGGGCGCCTGGGTGGCCCAGATGGTTAAGCGTCTGCCTTCGGCTCAGGTCACGATCCCAGGGTCCTGGGATCAAGCCCCACATTGGGCTCCTGGCTCAGCAGGGAGCCTGCTTCTCCCTCTCCCTCTGCCTCTCCCCCTCCTCATGCTCTCTCTCTCTCTCTCTCTCTCTCTATCTCTGTGTCTCAAATGAATAAATAAAAATCTTTTAAAAAAGTAAATAAAATAAAATTCTGCAATTCTGATGCTTGGGCTCCATTCTCACAGATTCAGGTTGAATACGTCTGGGATGTGGCCCAGACGTCCCCACCAAAATCAATCAACCAATCAATCACTCTCCCAGATATTGGTAGCAGGTAGCCGAGTGGAGAGACCCTGCTAGGTTAAAATCCCCCCATCTCCTAGCTATTCCCTGAACATCCAGCACAGCAGTTGACAGGTAGAAATAGTGGTTAATGCTCCTCTTTACATTTTTACTAACATGGTCTTTTTCAACGCTTACTTAACGCTCAGAGAGTTCTGTGCATCACACAATCTGAAGACTGGTGAGATGCTACACTGGGTTGTGGGGACTGAGAGTGGGGGTCTGGAGAAGTGGGGGAGCTCCTTTGTCAGCTGGGGTCACCCACAGGGCCCTAAGGGAGGAGGGGACTCACCTGTGGTATCCAGAAAAGCCACCCCTTTTCCCCTCCTCTCTTCTCCAAGGCCAGGAGCTGGGGAGAGAAAAGGCTTCAGGGGAGACACAGGAACCTGCAACCCCAGCCTCAAGTTGCTGGAGAAACCCTGGGGGTCTCTATGCAGTGGCCTTGGGCTAGTGAAGGTCAGAATCACCGGGCCTATGAAAAGGAAGAATCCTCTCCTGACACTGTAGTCTCCTTGGACTGACCTTGGCCTAGAAATCGACATTTTATTTTATTTTATTTTATTTTTTTAATGATTTTTTTTTTTAAAGATTTTATTTATTTATTTGACAGAGACAGAGACAGCGAGA